TGTCTTTTGGTAATATCCATTCCAGTTTCTTTTTTAACATATATATATATATATATATATATATATATATATATATATATATATATATATATATATATTTAGTTATTTCTATTTTTTCATCTTTCTTTGAGAAAAGTCTCACTTGTTTATTTATTTTTATCAAGTTCTTGTCCTTGACATGAGATCAAGGAAGGAGGATTTATTTTTATTAAAGAGCAAGATGGTTTCAAATAAAAATTTAATAAAAAATTCGTTCAATTTGTATAGTGTTATTTAAAGTGGCTCATTGATCAAGGTTCATATCACAATTAAGATCTATCTACAATAATACATCAATCAATATGACTTATAATTATATGATCTAGCATCATCTAGATAGTTTATTGGATCATAATCAAATAGTATTCATTGCAAAGCATCGGTAGATCACCACCTCACAACTTAATTGTTTTCTGTATCTATCATTGTTATAAAGAGGAGGCAATATTGAAGGTGAATAGAAAGAATCAAATAAGACAAGGACATTTAGTTAAGAACCATCACCATGAAATCAAAAAAAAACATGGCTCTCAATAAGTACAAAGGTTAGTCTTTACATAAGTTCCTTGAAGTCTAATCATTCAATAGGCTAGATCCTAAGGCCAAGTGCATTATAAGAAAAAACTAAGACTATCAATTGTTACTGAAAATTAGATTGAATGAAAATAATTTTAAGATTTAAATCACTTGGATTAAATTAGGTCATATGCAGATGAATAAGAATTTTAATAGATGAAACTTTGTAAATAAATATTGATTAAAATTGAATGAAAATTCATTTGTAAATAAAAATTATCTTTGGATAAAAAATCTAAATTTGGATAATAATTAATATTAAAAAAAATTAAATATGGTCTTTTGAATAGTTAAGAGGTTTGTATTGTGATATTGTGAATGTGAGAGTATATCATTTAATAAATTAAAAAAGATTAAAGGTTTTTAAGCAAAAAATAATTAAAAATATTTAAATAATTAATTTATAGACTAATTAATAATTGAAAGAAATCACCTATTAAAATAGTTATTTTAATTCACAATTAGAATATTATAGGACTTATTAAAAATTAGAAAAATATTAAATTTGGAATTATTATCACTTTTAATAATTAAATTATTATGATTTAGGATAGAATTTTAACTAATAAAAGTTTATTTTAGTTTACAAGTATATCCAATTGTACATTATTTATTACAATTGTAAGGTTCACTTTTGGAATAAAAATCAAGTAAAGTTTGAGTGCATATACAAGCTCTTCTTAATGTAGGCTTATTCTGGAGGTCCAATCATTGCTAGCAATTTGTCAAGTCATCAAGGCTTTTTTTAAGTAAGGTAACTATCAAAATAAATGCATGCATGTTGATGTTGATGATAAATGGTGATTTTATTATTAAATTAATTATAAGATGCATTTATATCCCATAACTACAATTTCTCCAAGATGACTAAAAAATGGCTCTCATTAAATATCTTGATTATTGAAAAGATAACTAGGATGCAAATATCTTGGGTAATAATAATTTTATTTTTTAATATCTCAAGAATCTTCATTCAAGCATTTTTTGTCATGTACAATATAAATTACATGGCCTTAGATTAAAAACATTCAAAGAACTTATAGATATTGTTTGCTATGACATTAATGTTGGATCTCCCATCCATAAGTACATTAATTAACTGATACTTCCTAATGCAAAGCTTAGTAACTATGGTGTAGAAATCTATCGCTATAGCATTTAGGTTTGCAACCACTTATAGTGATGGTTTGGTCATACTTTGTATTTTAGATACATCAATATCTCAAGATTTAGTTTGAGTAATTGAGCAATCAAAGTCGTAATTGTAATATTATTGAATATATTTCTTATTGTAGTTTCTTTACTACTAGTGTTGATTGGAATTATAGTCTTATTTGCATGTAGATCTTCTTATATTTATTTGAAAATTTTCTTAAGCAATGCCCAATATATGATAGTATATAAGAGATAAGGTTTTTATTCTATTTTTGTAGGTATTTTAAGTTGATACCAATTAATTCGGGTACTTACTTGAGGACACTTAGCTTATATTATTGAGATTGTTGATAAGTGTGGCTCTTTAGTATTAATAATGATTATCCCTCTATAGTGAAAATTTTATTGATTTTAATATTATTTCTATTATTCATATATATAAATGGAGTCACTAATTTGATGATTTTTTCTATATTTAAAATAAGGATATAATTGTATGTTCTATTATATTATAAGTGGAATAAATTATCATAATATAACATGGATAATGAAGAAAGAAAGAAGAAAAAATTATATTATAGAAGATCTTATTTTAAATTATTTTAGAAAATAGATAATAGTCAAAAAGATAATAAAACTAAAAGATACTATTACTACCTTTTTTTACAAAATAGGCTTTTACTTATCTTATAGATTTATAAATAAGACAAACAAAGTAGATTAGAAAATAAAATAATATAAGCATATGTATGAAGGAATTAAGAATAGATTTTAGCAAAATTTACCTCAAGAAGCTAAGAATTGATGCCTATAGAAGACCAGTTGTCAACCTTGGTCAAAATCAAACTCTAAGGCACAAAATCATCTATAGTGATTCTAGAGTTCTTTGATAGATCAAAGAATAGAGTGTTGTTGTGCTAGTTATAAATGTGTATGCAAATTTTGAAATCAATTGAATAATTAGATCAAAGTGTGTGATGGTTTTTGTAGGTTGAGGTGTCAAAAATTAGAATTTCAGGATCAATGAGTATTTTAAAGATCTTTAGCAATTTGTCCATTGGATTGAAGTGAACTTCTTTTTTTGTGGAGACTAGACTTGATTTCAAATAGTTTAAATGAACTTTGGGAGAAATTCAATGGTTCAAAAAGGAGATAATAGGAATGGAAGTTCAACATTCAGATTGGAATATGAGGCCAGCCAACACCCGAGCAGATTTTAGGATTTTTTTTCCATTTGGTACATTCAATTATCTTCAAATTTATTATACTTATTTTTAACTATAAATTTGAGAGGTATATAAATTTTTAAGCAAGATCAAAAATTTCATCTATAGATATTGAAGTTCTAATCTATCTTAGGATTGATTTGAATATATTAGGTTTTGATTAGGATTTGATTTAAGATTTAGGATTTATCTAAGATTTGATTTAGGATTTAGAATTTATCTAGGATTTGACTTAGAATTTAGGATTTATTTAGGATTTAAGATTTAATTAAGATTTGACTTAAGATTTAGTTAAGATCTATTAGAATTTTAATTAGAATTAAAGTGGGATTTGATTAGGATTTATTTAAGATTTCTCTAATATTTCTTTAAGATTTCTTGTGGATTTCTTTAAGGTCGATTTATTATTTTTTTATGATTTCTTTCTAATTTCTTTAGAAATTTTTTAGGATTTTTTCATGTTTTTTTTGTAATTTCTTTAAAATTTCTTTTGGATTTGATTAAAGCTTGATTAGCATTATTAAGGTTTAATTGGATTTTATTTAGGATTTTATTAGAGTTATCAGGATCTTGTTGTTGCAATTTATCTTTTACCTTCCATAGGTGCATTCTCAAATAAGACTTCATATTATACAACAATGTTAAATTAAATTTTTTCTTCCAATTCTTTAGTGGCTGTGGTTGAGTTTTTTTTTGTGAATTTTTTGGATTTGAAGAATTCTACCAACACTCCTTGAAATATATTTTGTGGCAATGTTTACACATTATCAATGTTTCATTTGGATTCTTTTGTTTGAATTCTTGTACAAATGACAACATGCACCCGATCTTAAGGGTAGCTTCAAGCATTTTTTCTATGCTTTTAAATTGCATGTATATTATGGCCTTGCTTGATGCTTAGTAGTAAGCCATGTTTCAATGACTAGGTTTGGATGGAGTCATGGAGAATAGCATTAAGTTTTTCTACAAGATTGGTGAACTATTCTAGATAATCTTTCATGTCGAGAGCCTGATTTGCCTAATTTTTGATAATCCCAATATAATGTTGTCATTGGTTTTCATGCGCCTGAATTGAAGAATGCGACCAGATCTGTGTACTCCTGAGCTTCTCTCAATTATACTGATTCCCTTGTGTATCCATCCTAGTTTTTTCCCTGAAATATCGTTCTCTTTCTCAAATCGACTTGCCCAAAGGATTTAGTAGCATCAGAGGAAATTATGGCATTGGCAGCACCTATGAGAATTCAATTCTATTCAAAAAAAAAACAACAGCGCCGAAGGTGCGTCACCAAAAGATCTCTACTACCTAGGAAGCCAAAATTGCCGCAAAATGCCACTCCGCGCAGACAGCAATGCCTGTCGCACACCGCATTTCTAGCAAAATGCCAAAACATCGCACAACCTTGCTCCACCCACGCCGTTGGCCAGTCGTCAAGTTCACCACCTCAATACTATTTTTCAAAGCCAGCGGATCAGCGACCACACTACGTCCAGCTCCACCACTGCACTGACTGAATAAGATCTCAGACACAACGACACTGCAGGTCGTCTCCTTCATTGAAGAAGAGAACAAACAATCAAGACAATCACTCTAATCCTTCACCATAGTGCCGCCGCACATCCACGCCAACGCTCTATTGTCGGACACACCGAACCCCAACGTCATGCACTGATTACAGGAAACAAAGATAATTTCTGCCACAATACTTCCATGGTATGAAGAGAAGGGAATTGCAGCCCACACACATCGAAAACAACGGCAGAACTCCCTATCAACAAAGTCTGGGATCCTTTATAAAGAGAATCCAAAAGAAAAACAAGGAAGAAGGGGGGAGAGATTCGGGGCAGCCCCGACCGCTATCGACAACTAGGCTGCCGCCATTCCTGGGCAGCCTCTTGCCCTTCTCACTATCTTCTCTTCTCCCTTCTTTTTCTTTTTTTCTTTTTCTTTCTTCAATGGTTTTATTCTATTTTATTTGTAAAAAAACTAATATTATTTTTCTTTCTTTTTCTTTTGGATTGACTTCAATCAAAGATCCCTCTTAGCTTCTAGTCTAAATAATATTTTACAAAAATAAACTACTATTAAAATATCATAATTTTATATTAGCTAATTTAAGAAGAAAGTCTCTATTTTAGAATTTCTTCTTAAATAACTCTACAAGAGACCCTCTTTGCAATTGACATTCTATTACTTGCTATTTATCTCAGAATTTTGCTACATTAACTCACTAGTGACTAGTGACTTTATGCACCATAAGTGCTTTAAGCACCATAAATGGACCTCAGTGGACCTAACCATGGACGCGGGTAAAACCGGAAAGACGAGGCTTGGAAAGTTCCGTGCAAGTCAAGGCCAGCATGTTTGTTTCACCAGCAAATTCCGTCGAGAAAATAATTGAATGGTAATGACGTAACAGAAAATGGCTGGACAAACAACGATGGGCGGTGATGCGCTGGCGGGCATGGATTTTGTTACTGGTAACCGCAGCTGCATTGCCCGCCTTTCCCGATTTCGTTTCAAGAAGACCAGAGCATTTATGAAAGCTCTATTTTACAAGCAAAGTCATTAATTTTGATCTCCGCAGGCACTTTTAATCCCGAGGGTGGATTTCGCAGTGTTGTTGTGAGAGATTAGGACAATCGGTTCGTGAAATTGAGGACTGGGTGGTGGCTTTCTGTGAACTTTCGGTGGCTTACAGACGTTGTGTGAGAGAATTTGGTTGTTAGGGAGATTGTTAGGTGTTGAAGGTTTAGAGCTAAGGTGGTAGAGGTGGTGGCGAGTGAAATTAGGAGGTAGTTGAGTTGAGGAGTCACTGAAAAGGGCGAGTAACCATGGCCACACAACAAGCAGAGAAAGCTGCAGTGGCAGCCGTGCAAACTGGCTCAGCTTACTGGCGAGCGGCGGGGATGACTTACATCTGGTTTGCGTGTCGATGTGCCGTCGTCGTGCGTTCATGCCTAAAGGAGCCGTTCAAGTCGCAGGCTCTGAGCCGTGAGAAAGTGCACTACAGGTTCGGCAAATACAATGACGGCAAACAAGGAAAATCAGGTGAGTTTCGATCTCCAAGAGCTGTCATGTTCACGTTCGGTCTTCTTGGAATCTTGTGTAATTCCAACACCAGGACGAGCAGGTTCGTTATCGCATGTTGATTACTTTCGCGATCAATTGAGGCAACTAGGGGACATTTCTGTTTCCGAGCATGAGTTCGGATCCCTTGATTGGGATTTGATTCGAGAAGAGTAGTATTGAAATTCTTTTATTCCTGTTTTTGTTATCCAGCTGATCTGCATTGAACCAATTATTAAGAATCGACTGTCGTCGAAAGCAGGGGACTCTGACAGTAAATGGTCAAGCATTGTGCACAAATCCAAAAAGAATGAATCTTTGAACTTCTCTGATCGTGTCTGTATGTGTACAGAATATCGAGGAGTCGTGCAATGTACCCCAATAGAGAAATAAATGTTGAGGTATCGACAGCTTCGGGCCCCAGGTCTCCATCCAGGGACGGTCTCTAGAGTTCGTTTTCTGAAGTAGCAATTTATCCAAGTATCATAGAATTTGAAATTCATAGAGTCGGAAAAATTCAACGGGCCAAGTTAAATCTGATGCTCTTTGTAAAGTCATAGCACTCTATGAGTGAGTCGACTCGAAGATAAACTTACTGAAAGGTGTTGACACGACTCACTTCTGACTTTAATTCTCGGATTCCATAAACTTTGTGGTTGTAGACACTAGCTTGTCTCGATTACAACCTGTAATGCTCATGTAGGTGCATCTGAAACTGATTAAACTCAGCACATGAAGGATGATTAGTACCTGACGAGTCGGAATGTCATCCAGACTCTGCTAACAATATCTCTAGAAGAGTTTTATTTGACCTACGAACTTCCCATGTAAATAACACCTCACACATGAGCTATATGAGCTTCTTTTATAATGGTTTCTATTAAACTCCGATCAGGATAAGCCCTATAGGTTAAATAAGGGCATCTCACCGCAGGTTGAAGACTCTAAGTAAATTTTTCATTGTCTACCTGAACCAATACATACTGACCGAAGCAAGTCGTCTAAATCGCTGCATTGCTTAACGGATAGCCTGCTGTTGTTCAATTTCACTCAATCTTTCTAATACAACCAAAACATTTCTACAAACGCTGTAGTTTTAACTTGAACCAGCTGTAATGCGAACATTGCACGTCACATTCAGAAGAATCCCAACGTTTAAGATAGGAGAATGAAATGGTTTAGTCTCTTGAAGAAAATATCTCTAAGTATCACGAATGCCTGCGTCAACTCTACTGATGAATCTTATAACTTACTATTTTCAGACCGCTTCGAATAAAATTGCCCAAGTGTCTACTCAAATAAAACATAATAAGCGTTCTTGACAAAACAGCCATAGCTTTCAAAGACGATCTATGATCTCTATGTGTGGGGGTACCTTCGTTTCCCTGCAGATAAGCTCGGGCAAAGCAAACTATCATCCCAAGAATCCGTCCAGCCTGCGCCTTTGTTCTCTGTAAGGAGTCTACCTACTGCTGCTACTGCATGCATTATTGTATATAGACAGAAGCAGAACCGATGAATAATGCGCTACTTAACCTTTTGATCTGTTGCAAAATTGTTTATGTATGAACCTTTTTACCTTGAGCATAGCGAAAAACCACCACAGTTAAACCTCACCTAAAAAATAATCTAGTTGAATCAGTTCAATTTACCTGGACCTTCCATTCCTATTACCTTTTCTTCACTGAATGCTCAAAGACCTTGAAAAGCTTCAATGGTGAGCCTTTCTGGTGTCTTTAGAGAATCTCTCGATCCCTGTGAACCGCCGTCGACAGAAGGAGAACCAGGGGAACGTGATGACGGTGCAGAGCCTCTTACATTGTGACCGGACTGTGACGTCGACGCACTTGGCGGTGAGAGCCGGTCATCAGAAGACGCAAGTGCAGGCAAGTAAGAATAGGACGTCGACGAGTGCATGGCAGGTGTACCTGTACGGTTAAGGAACCGTGTAAGTAGACCCCTCAGGAAGGGTGCCATCGTGTCAGGCTCGTATTCGTGAAAGTACATGATGCAACCCATGCACAGGCAGAACAGTGCTACCTGCACAGATCCAAGATCAAGGAAGAAAGAATTAGCAACTAGTAATCAACATTAGCTTCCCTTGTCGTCCATCTCATAAGTTTTAAGTCTTATAGAGCATAATAATACTGATTAACCTGAAACTCCAAGCCCACTTCTGATTAAATCAACTTGAGACTAGCTCAACATGTAGATGAAGAGTTAGAACCAATACTCACTTCCGCATGCTTGATGTTAGGCAAAACATGACGATTTACCAAGATGTACCAAAGAGAGTCACCAGCACGAGGCAGGGTGTAAAGGGCAAGCTCTGAACGGCGGTTTTTCTTTTCAATCAATGCAGACAAAGCTGCAATAGCTCCAGCAAAGAAGTACACTAGCTTGTGATCCCTCGTGGCCACTTTCCGCTGAAGACAAATTACACCCTGCAGACAAATCCCAACGCGAAAATCGTTCAAGTCAAAAACCTTTGAAGCTATTTTGAGCACCCGCAGAACTGTATTGCGTAAGCCAAGGAAGAAGCCATAAATAGAAATCTCCTACTCTTCTCCAACTCATACGATTATTTGATGAATCAATTTTTCGGGCAAGAACGTTGCAAATGAAAACATCTTGTGCAGATTGGCAAACGTAGGTTTATTAACCCCTTGTGTATATTGCACAGTCGCAAAAAATCGAAAAACCAAGATTGGAATCAGGAATATAGCACGAACAAATCACCTGATAAATCCCAACAAATGCTGAAAGAAAACATGTGGAGCGTGTTGCACTCTTCAAGGCATTCCAAAAGGTGTGAAGGGGAGCATGCATAAACTGTAGATGATCAAACACACAGAGAAAGATGAGAAACGGGCACATTTGAGCTGATCATGGAGCTCCTTTGCAATGGTTAAACAGAAGGTAGATGCTCGCATATAAAAAGCGTACCTTCTGGATATTTAAAACTACAAAGGGCACAAATGTGAGTGACAAATAGAGTGGGAATGTTTTTCTGAATGTTGCCCGAGTAGCTTTGCTGTTGTGCGCCAGACATGAAGTTGTCTGGGGGTGTATACCAGTGCAAGGAATAATTGGTGAATCAGATTTCAGACCCAGTGGTCCAGCAACTCCTGTTCTTTCGAAAACAAATGCTGATAAAGCTCGTAAATCGATTGGAACACCTCGATTGCTCTCACATACAGCTTTCAACGTAGGCTTCGCAATCGGTCCAGTTTTCGTAATAAACTCTAAATAAGATTCTGGAAGGGTCTCTGGACGCATAACATAGGCGTACATAATCTGCACTTACAAACCACGTCTGAGTTTCTTATAATGAAGAGGACTACCAACAAGAACTTGGAGGTTCATGTCAAGAATTCATGGAATGTGAAAAACAGTTAACATAACTATCCCTTTTTCGATGACCCTCTGTAACACACCTGAGCAGATGCTAAGCTGAACAATAATGTATCGCCGTGACTCCATTTACTACCCCAGAAGTGAAACTTATTTTTAGCCTTCGCAGAATTGTACGCACACTGCACATGGCAAGTTGCCGAGAATACAGATGAAAATATCCTCTGAAGGTATATCACATTGCAAAGAAAACCTTCACATATCTTCTAGCATATGAACCTTAAAGAAAACCATCCATCGCGCAGATCCTTCAAATAATGATGGTTGCATCTCATTAACTATCCACATACACTTGAGACCCACCAAACAGGAAATTCAACAAAATATCATATATACCTGTGCTACCCTGGCCAAAAGATACAATGCAAAAGTTCGCCTTCTACTGGAATCATCCAAAGCCAATACAGAGAGACCAGCTACAGTTCCCGCCACAAAACTGCGAAAAAGAATGTCTGCTCAATTACTACATGAATAAAATGACGTACTTCATATTCAAAAAGAATGACGTCAAACAACAGTGTACAACATTACATATTTGACAATGACATCATTACACTTCATAATGCTGCAACAGAAGGAAGCTACATTCCATTGAGAGACATTTCTAAAAGGCTGTATAGCATATCTCTTTCATCTCATTTACATCACATGCACTGTTTTAGAATTGTGAATTATACAGCTCCTCAACTTCCCGTAAGGAAATGAAAAGTATTCAATATATACCATGATAATACTGTGTCAAGGTAATACAGTACAAGAGCAAGAATCATGGATCAGACGAGGGAAAAAAAAGCCGTTGACATGAGCGAGTGAAGACTAATTATGAAGCGACAGAATTGTATCCAAAATAAAAGGGCATACGTTGAGTAACAAACCCATTGATTGGCGTTTCCTTGTTACGTGTTCTTCTCAGAAGACAACGGATTGAATGAAAAGCCCCTGTGAAACCTCCAAACAAAAGACCCGTTCGACAAGCCTCCTCCCTAACTATAAGATCCTTTTCGGATAAAAGAAGCTGCCACACAAGCGAGACATTTCTCACATGTCAGGAAATACAACAACGCACCCTTTCTGATGCTCTCTGTATCATACTCCCTCATTTTAAGCATCATAATAACTACGCATAATTATACACATTGCAAAGTATATTAAGAAGCAAAGTAGTAGCAATAATTGATCATTAAAAAGGTATACAAACCAGAGTCACCGCAGTACCTTCAGGTCAAGGACAGTGTAAAAAGGCTTTTTCTTAATGAGCTTAAAAGCTCTAAGAATGACTCCTATCCCAACTCGAACACCATATGCAAGTAGGAAACTCTGGCACAAGCTTCCCACGGCATTGGCCACACATGAATCCCCATGCGGGCAGAGTGAATGGCGACCACTAAAAGAATCCCCAAACCCATCTCCAGTTTCATTCTGTTTGTTCTGGAGTTCCTGAATGGCCTCTCTAAGCCTTGTTTCGGCTTCCCTTAACCGTTTTTCTGCTTCGGCTTTTTCCTGCAATAGCTTCGCTGCACGGTCTTCAGGAGAAATGGCAGTTAATGCCAACGGTGCGAGCGTGCCCTTGACGAGACCATTTGCCCGTCCTGCCATCTTGTAACAAACCTCTTGCCGAACTCCAAGCTTTCGAACAAGGTCAAAGCCTCACCAACTGAAACTTACGGAGTCCTAAGAATTTCTCAGACATTGCATAATATGCCCAAACCTCATTCAGGTAATGAAAGTGGCGACAGGATACAACCACTATTGAGAAGCTGTATTTCTATTTCGTCTCCACCATTCGAAGTAAAATCATCATTATATGAATGAGGTACAAGTTACTCGAGGGAAGTCCCGCGCTACAGTTTGCACACCACCCTGCAGTCTCGTAAACATGAAACTCAATTAAATATTCCGCGGACATGTGATTGGAACGTAAATAATAACATGGCAGTAGCATACAGGCTGAGAGAATTGTGTCGTGTTCTTGAAATTCCGTCAATACCAAAGATTTGCGACTAATTGCAACAATCGCCCTGAACATAGTGTTTCCTATACACTCTTGAAGACTAGCCTCGCTGATTCTGGTTGAAAGCAGTTGCATATTATACGCAGGTCTGGCTGAAACGTCCAACGTCTAGTCACTCACAACTATTCAAGATTCTCATTGGAAACAAGGTAAAGTGATATTCCGGGTCTCAGAAGCAACGTGAAGAATTAGACAGAGGGTTTAACACTGAACTAGCATTGACCCTAGATGAAGAAACTAAATTCTAACCAGTGCTCTTATCATAACCTCGCCTTAAAACGTACGAGCAAGATTGTGGGACAAGAACGAACGCTCTATAGTATATCTCTCTAATTCATAACAAACCTAGAATGTGTCAGTGGTTGCACTTCAATTCATTATATATCACACTCCAGCAGAAATAAGAGAAGACAATCGACTCGCCTCACCTCACCTCACTCTGCATTGCCTGGTCAGCGCATGCATACATGCTGAATGCACAGAATTTTGAAGCGCATTGTTCCAACAACGATTAAAAAAAAAAAAAAAAAAAAAAAAAAAAAAACGCGATTCAGTACAAGAAGGATACTTACACAGCACTTACATCAATGAACTCAAAATCTGAACACAAAAAACCTAATTCAGAGAAGGGAACACCCAAGCGACAATCGACCAAACGTATCGAACACTTCTCGCATCATCCTAACGCGAAGAATCATGCACATAGCACCTAACAAAGCAGGAAATGCAAATTGACGTAATTGAGACATACTATTGTCACAGCTTCAGCTCGTCTGCCGACTTCCACGCTCAATTAAACGGACCAAAAACCTGCTAAAGAAAACCGAATTCGCCACCCCTAACGATATAACATGTACACCAACCGCGTGTGCACTAAATCAATGAAATGTTTAATTAGGGTATATAGAACAATCGCTGCAGGAGGCCAAAATGCACGCAAACGGGCTCGTTAGAAAGCTTGTAACGATAAGTGAAAGGTCGCGCACAGGGAGAACTGTTGTGGAGGCTTCCAGGCTCAGAATTAGGGCCGATGCGATCCAGTTTCTCCCCTAAGGGACCGCGCTCAGCCCCTGCAGCGATGCCGCAGACGACAGTACTCGAGAACCAAAGATTGTCGAAACCGAGGAGATGTAGTTCCCCGCTATTATAACTCGCTCCCACCGAGCGGTTCACAGGTGGCATGCATTAAGTGGCTGACGTGGATAGAGGTCCAAGAGGGCCTCTGACGTGGTGGTCGACGCAGTAAAAAGCTGGCCGACGTGGCGATGCCGAACGGTGTGTTTGGATTGGCTCATGTGAGAGGGCTGAGGCTATTGGAGAAGAGCAAATTCTTTGCACACATGGTAAAAAGGTCAATCACATCATGTAGTGCAAATCAAAATGCGAAAAAGTTAATGTGGTGGTATTAGAAGAAAAGAGACGAAACAATGATTGAGTAATGAATTTCTCAATAAATCTTTATAAAACAATACTTTCATTCAACATTTTTGGTGAAAGCCTGAACATCATTTTTATAGCATTGCAAGTTGATGATAAGTAAAAAAAACAAAATATTAATAATAGTTACAATAAAAAATAGGGGAATGTTAAACAGACAGATGGTTTTACTGAATTGACCCACTCATCCTAACTATCATGAAGAAAAAATAAAAATAAAATAAAATGACATTTATATTCATTTCTCCACTATTGGATTTGACACCAATGAAACCAACCACATTCATCATGGGTAGGTTAATTTAGTAAAAACTTGGGTCTATTTAACATAAATCCACATTGAAGTTATAACAAAGGTATCTGCATCAAAAAATAATAATAACAATAATTTTAATCACCCAAACTGTTTGGCAGATTCTTGTGTGTTACACACCTGTTTGCCTCTTTGTTTTCATTTTGATTTGAAAACTATATCATTTCATATTGTGCCTTGTATATTGTTTGATTGTTACATTAGCATAACCACATTGTGCCTTGTATATTGTTTGATAGTTCTAATAACCATATACTTGGCAATGTTAAAGAATTCTACTGGAAGCAATGTTGTTGGAATCCAAAGAAAACTACTTTAAACTGAGTTAATAATTTAATATATGTTTATTTTTATATAAAAATTCTATAAATCAAACACATTGTTGTTATTGCATATCAAGCAATATCCAATAAATTAGAATAGTATGGTAAACTACTCACTTCAATAGTGAGAAGTAATAAAATTTTAAATAAATAATATCAAAATGTGTTTTTTTGCTGCTGCATCCACCACAAAAAAAATAAATAAAATAAACAAACAAAAACAAAAACAACCAAACATACAAAACAAAAACAAGAAGAGTGGATAAAGTAAAACAAATTACTAGGAAAATTTCAAGATAATCAAACAAAGGTGGACTGAATAGATTCATGTCTTATTTGCAAGCTTCAGTATTACAATATTCTCCATAGTTGATGGTTGCTTTTAAATCAGATTTCGCAATAAATATATTGGACTTGGACATTGCCCATATATCAATACTAGTTTAACTTGAATTTTTTTAAGAAAATATATTTTAGATAAAAATATTGCAAAGTCATTAGGTTGATTTTTTTATTTATTTAAAAGTAAAGAAATTTAGTTTCACAAATCCAAATACCATATTAAAAAAAAAAAAAAAAAAAAAAAAAGTAAAAAAATAGTTAATCGGCCTCTTAATAATATGAAATTTAAAATTTCTAGAGTAATTGATAAAATATTTTTTGGCAATATAAATTATAAACATGACATTTTTGTCATGAAACCCAATAAAATAATTGGTCAATAAGATATTATTTATGTTTTTGTTGTCAAAGACTTGTAAGAAAAAAAATTGATCTTTGGTTGAGCACCAACCATAGCATTTTGTATACAAATATTATTATTTGGATTGGAACAAGTACTTGAATCTTAAGTCTTACCTGAGACAAAATTATAACCAAATTCATGCTTTTTTAACAATAGCTTTACATATGGAGTAATTGTATTATAATGTACTAAGAGCATGTTTGCCAAAAATAAGTTTTGTAGTCTAAAAATGAATAAAAAAAAAACCATATTCTAATCATTTACTAAGATAAAGGTAAAATACTTATTATTATTTATTTTTTGAATTACTGTTAATTTTAGAAGTTAATTATTTTTTACTTACTAATCAAACAATTACATATTTTTGGCAATTAAATTTTGTATCGATTAAAATCATATTTCTTAAAACATTGTTTTATAGTTATTTTTTTATGAGTTACAAATTCTAAATTATTACTCAAGTTATTTTCCTCTTGGTGTTAATAAAGGCATTTATTTATTTATTTTGTACTGCAAAAGAAACTGTATAAAAATAAATACACTATAGAATAATAAAATTCTATAAAAGATACCTTATACCTTTAAAAATATTAATTAATATAAATGAATTAGTAGTACAATTGTTAAAGAAAGTCTCACCATATTTTTACTTTCTTAATTAATTATTATTTAATATCGATTTGTAGTGGTAAATAAAGTTGATGCATTACAAGCATTATATTTTTTCATTTGGTCTTCTATTTTTTGTTATGAAATTATTTATTTTTATGAATTTCATGAGATATATATATATATATATATATAGATGTTCTTATCAAATAATTAAAAAAAAGATACAAAAATATAATAAAAGAAAAGAAAATAAAAATATTAATATAAATTAATTTTAATTTAAAAGACAATAATTTAAAATCTATTAATTACTTTTAAGTTTCTATCAAAAATAGATAATCCTTTCTTTATTAAAAATAATCAAACTTTGATATACATAATTTAGACATAAAAATTATCAAACATATAAATTTATATAATATATAAAAAAATATACTTATCAACTAAAACAAAAGAAGATAAAAAAATATGTATATTATAAAATAAGAATATACTAAAATATTACTAAAATGTAGAATGAAACTTTAAGGATATTATAGATTTTTAAATAAAGATTTAATTTTATATATATATATATATATATCAAAGATTATTGTTTGTATTAGACTTTTCCATTTGCATACTAAATAGATAGATGTAAAGGACATGAATAAATAAATAAATCTAATAATAATAATATACTCTTATATTGCAAAAAGAAAAAAAAACAGATAATTAAAAAATAGATATAAAATTAAAACTAAATCTATTTTTGTTAAATATAAAATGACTAGAAAGACTTGAATTAAGATAAAGTATAAGAACATTATTGATAAGACTAAAGAAGTCTTTACTTTTGCTTCTATATATATTATCTATTAAAAAACTACATGTCAATGTCATATGCGTTATATGACACATGTCCAATTCGTGGGACATATGTCTAATTTTTAAGATCATGTTTGCTACATAACCAATCTGTAATATAAATGGCTAAATGTATAATATGTTGTTAATTTATTGACTAAGTTGTTAACCTACCAATTATTTATAAACACACATAAAGTCTACAAAGAAAAAAATTTTAATCATAAAAATAATTGGTAATATTCAAGCAAGAAAAGAAAAAAGATTTAGTTTACATAGAATTTGTTTTTTGAGGTCTTTAAATTCTCTACTTTTATATTTTTGTGAGATTAATATCTGAGCTATTTTATTTTAGATATTATACTTGAATATAATAATAATAATAATAAAATTCTTACAAATATTTAGATTATTTAATAAAAATAATAATAATAATAATAATAATATTCATGTAGATGATATCTTTTTGTTATAGACATAAACATTGATATTGATAATTATTAAAATAAGAAAGATTTGGTAGAAGTACAAATAAATAAATTTGATAATAACTCATAGAGAAGCTTCTTAAAAGCTATATAGATGCAAATATGAACTTTCAAGTGTTTCTAGGTAAATATTAGGTTGAAAACTTAGCCAACAAAATGTCCATGTATTATACATATTGACAACTTGTTTTATATATTGGCCATATATTGCACATGTTGATTACTTGGAATATTAGTACATTATATAAGACACATGTAAAAAACTTACCTTATAAGTTAGACATCTATTTCTTAAGTTAGATACATATTGATTGATCTAAAATATGTCGTCATGAAGTTTCTTTGTCTCATAATATATATGTACATAGAAGCAAGTATGAGGCCTTCTTTGTTCTTATCCATGCCTTTCTTGTATTTAGCTGAAGAATCTCTAGTCTTTTTATATTTTGTAGTAGCTATTTTAGTTTATATATATATATATATATATATATATCTATATCTTTTAATTTTATACTCTCTCATTTTAAGTGTTTTAAGAGTATACTGCTTCTTTAGAATTTTGCTATAATTCATGTCTTTGACAATTTAATAATGGTCATAATTTTTTATTCTTTTTTTGTTTTACAAGTGAATGAATTATTCTACTACTTATTCTTGTGTTTTAAATATTACAAACTATTCACCCTTGAATTAATATTTTTTTATTTTTATGACATCAAATCTTTGATCAAAAAGATCAAACTATTTTTCTTTGTAGAGATTGTTTTTTTATATTAGAGGTTGATTTTTATTTTATTTTATTTTATTTTATTTTTTTTAAATTCAACTTTTTAATTTTTTTAAAGTTTTTTAATATCAAAAAAAAGAAAAATAATATTGGATGCTATACTTGGTAGAAGTGAAAATAGATTTGCTATAATTGGAGATTTTCACAAGCTTGTGAATATTATTAGGACAAAAATTTCATGTAATACTAATGTGAATCTTGGAAGTATTATTACTACACCTATAGAAATATAAATGTATCATAGACATATGTATTAACACAAGTATTTACTTAAATAATAAGAGTTAGATAGAAATAGATAAATTTAGTAATATCTTGTAAAAAATCAATTTTGAAAAATCTATAGATACAGATTTGACTTTCTAAGTGCTTCTAGGTGATTGATAGGTTGAAAACTTAGCTAATTAGTTGGCTATAGGCTGCATATATTGACCACTTGCTTTATAAGTTGGCTACATAGCATACATATTGGAAACTTATATTATAAATAAGATGTAAATCTTGTAAATTGGACACATGTTGGATGATCTATAGAACATTACCACACAATTTTTTTTATTAGCTAAGATACAGT